TGAGTAAGATCATGTGATGCTTGTCTTTCTCTGACTGGCTTATTTCACTTAACATAATACTCTCTAGTCCTACCATGTTGTCTCAAACAAATCCTTTGTTTTTACAGCTGCATAGTATTCCATAGCGTAAACATCTGAGAAGATGCTTGATATGATTTCAATCTTCTTGAACTTGTAAAGACTTGTTTTGTGTCCTAACATGTGGTTTATCTTTGAGAATGTCCCATGTGCACTTGAAGAGAATGCATATTCTGCAGCTTTGGGTGAATTGTTCTCTAAATGTCAATTAAATCTATCTGATCTAGTGTCACTTAGAGTCACTGTTTCCTTGTCATTTTTTTGTCTGGAAGATCTATCCAGTAAAGTCAGTGAGGTGTTAAAGTCCCTTACTGTAACTGTAAAGTTAATCTTTCCTTTAAAGTCCTTCAGAAGTTGTTTGGTTCTTTTCCCTTCAGCCTGTGTGAGTCTTTGGTTCTGAGGTGAGCCTCTTGTAGACAGCATTTATTTGGGTCTTGTTTTCTTATCCATTCAGCTACTGTATGCCCTTTGATTGGTGTGTTTAATCCATCTATATTTAAGGTTATTATTAATAGGTACTTCTCTACTGCCATTTTATTTCTTTATGCATATGTTTCTCATTCTCTCTATTTCAATTTCTTATTACAGCAGTCTCTTTAACATTTCCTGCAATACTGGTTTGGTGGTGATAAATTCCTTTAGCCTTTTTTTTTTTTTTTTATGTGGGAAGCTCTTTATTTCACCATTTTTTTTTCTTTTAAATATATCTTTATTGATTTCAGAGAGAGGAAAGGAGAGGGAGAGAGAGAGAAAGAGAAACATCAATGATGAAAGAATCATTGATTGAGCCTGCAACCCAGGCATCGAACCCTGATCCCCTGGATTCTAGGTCAACGCTTAACCTCTGAGCCACGCCTGGCCAGGCTCACCATCTATTTTGAATGATAGCCTTGCTGGATAGAGTAGTCTTGGTTTCAGATCCTTGTTCTGCATTACCTTAAGTACTTCATGCCATTCCCTTCTGGCCTGTAGAGTTCCTGATGAGAAGTCAGCTGACAGCCTTATGGGAGCTCCTTTGTAGGGAACAGCTTGCTTTTCTCTTGCTGCCTTTAAGATTCTCTCTTTGTCTTGAATTTTTGGCATTTTAATGATGATGTGTCTGGATGTGGGCCTCTTTGGGTTCTTCTTGCTTGGGACTCTCTGTGGCTGCTGAACTTTTGTGACATTTTCCTTGATCAGGTTAGGGAAGTTTTCTGCTATTTCTTCAAACAGGTTCTCTCTCACCCTTGCTTACTTTCAACCTCCTCTGGCACTCCTATGATGCAAATATTGTTACCTTCCATGTTGTCCCACAGCTCCCTTAGTCTGTCCTCCTGTTTTTTAATTGTTTTTTCTTTTTGGATTTCTGATTGAGTGATTTTTTCTGCCCTGTCTTCTAATTTGCTGATCCGATCCTCAGCTTCCTCTAATCTGCTATTTATTCCTTCCAATATATTCTTTATTTCTGCTATGTCATTCTTCATTTCCTTCATAGTTTCCAAATTTTTTTTCATGCTGTTGAACATCCTTATAATCAGTATTCTGAACTCTAGATCTGATAGATTGCCTGTCTCCATTTCATTTAGCTCTTTTTCTGGAGACTTCTCTTGTTCTTTCATTTGGAGCTTGTTTTTTTGTCTCCCCATTTTGGCTGCCTCTTTGGGTTTGNTTGGAGCTTGTTTTTTTGTCTCCCCATTTTGGCTGCCTATTTGGGTTTGTTTCTATGTTTTAGGTGGGCCAGCTAGGACTCTCAGTCTTTTTGGAAGGTCTCTGGCGCAGGTCAATGTCAGATGCTGTTTGTGACTGGCCTGGAGTACCCTGTTTGGAGCTATCAACAACCCAGGGCTTGAGGTCTCCTTTGCTGTGCCTGGGTGCGTTTGGACAGGACCAAGATGCACACCAAAGTTTGCTTTTCCAAGGTCCAGGTCCAGAAGCAAATAATGCAAAGACTCAAAGCACTTTGAGATCTGCCTCTGCCTGCAGGCTGATTATTCTGATTCTCTTAATGAGCCTCAGGCTGTAGAAAATCCATGGGGTAGGGAAGAGGTTTTCAGGCAGGACCGGGCAATTGCTTCTCCCTCAGGTAAAAGTTGCTTGGAAGGTAAATGTCTGCCTCTGCACTGCGGGGGAATGACTCAGCACAGAAATCCAGAAGGGTGCCCTCTGAGCTATATCTCCAGAGCCCACAATCCTAGATTCTCCTCACACAGCTCCAGTCCACTCTGTCTTCCCTCTGCTGGAGCCCCAGGTGAGTGGTTGCACACAAGACTTTGTGCGTTGGCTCTTTAAGAGGGTGCCTGCATTTCCAGCCATTTCTCCCTGGCAGACAGAAACCTAGCTGCTTTTCACAACCAGGTCTTATGTGGGCACCTTTCCCAGTTCTGGTGCTCTTGGCTGGGAAGCCCATACTGGGGTTTAGGCCCCAGAGTCCTCAGTGGGAACCCATCCACAGCTGAGATATCCCTCTGGACTTTCAGCTGCTGCCTGTGGGTGCCCAGCCAGCCCTCTTGTGCCTCTGCACTTCCTAAGAGCCTCGATTTGGTCTCCACTTCTCCTCCTTGGTTATGAGGGTACTCTCCAGCTCATCTTCAGTAGCACTTGATTATTTGGGATAGTTTTTCTGTGTTTTAGTTGTAATTCTAGTTTGGTCTGGAGAGAATGTCAGTGTAGCTTCCACTCATTCGGCCTTTTTTAATCTCTCCTTTAAACATTTTTTTTAATACCTAATTTATGGTTAACATTTTGTAAATATTCTACATGTGTTTGTAAAGTGTGTAATCTATACTTGCTGGTCAATGTGTCCTATATATGCTCATTCATTCATCAGCTATTCATAACTTCTATATATCATTACAATTTATAAAATGTGTCTAAAAACTTCCCCAAATGACTATGAAGTTGTTTCTTCCTGGGTAACCTTTACTTATGGTGCTATTGAGAATTCAGCCTTTACTCACCATGCAGTTGAAAGTCAACTATCTTTCTCTAGTAATCTCTCTTTCTTAAGATTTCTGCCATTTCTTTATGACATGATTTATAGAAATGAATTTCTTTTAATTATTTTACTTTTATTTTATTTACTTTTTCTAACCTTCAATTGGACTCTGTTCTTTCATTTTGAAAAAATCTCAGCCACCACTTCATTACACCTTTCCATATTCTTTCATTTTCCTTCCAGAACTCCAATTACACATATGTTCAACCTTCTAATTAGACTATTTTCTATATTTCTCTCTTTGTGCCTCTCTATGCTTTATTCTTGACACCTTTTTCTGAGCTACTATACATCACAAGTTCTCTTTTCACCTTTGTCTAACCTCTTATTACTTGATCCACTGTGACTTTAATTTTGCTTATTACATTTTTCACTTTTAGAAGCTGTATTTAGTTCTTTCTCAAATGGTATGTCTTTTTTCAAATTCCATGTCCCCACAGGTCATTTAAGGCTTCTTTTACATCAACATACTTGTTTTGTTATCTGTATCAGATTATTCCTATAATATTATCCCATGGTTTCTTAGTCATGGTCTCTTCTTTCTCTGTTTGTTTCTTGATCTTATTTACATTTGACAATATGCTTGTCATTATAATTGAAAAATAATTTTTAGGTGTGATTCAAATGTGGAATTAAGTGAACTCCCTCTAGATTTGCATCAGTTAATTCGGCACACATCTATAACTATGAAAATGCACGTTTAAGGTCTTAGATTCCATGAAAAGTTCAAGTAATTCCAATCTTTCATGAAGTACTTGCAAGGACTAGCCCCTTACTCTTCTTTGTTACTTTGAGGGTACAGAATTTTCAGCTCCTGGCTTCTTGTGAGGAAGACTTTTGATTGGACCTAGTTGGGTGAATTTGGTCTTTGCTTTCTTCCCCTCTAAATCTATATGGTCATCAAACAAGAAGCTCACATCTTGTGGGTTCAGCAAATACCCACAGAAGAACTTGCTACCTAACTCTATGGGGTTGTAATGTTTTTCTGAGCATGCTCACAATCTTCTACATAGTTTTAAGGGCCTCACAACCCACTGGGTTATTCTGCAATATTCCACCTGGTCTCATTCTAGTGTTGAAGGAATAGTTTTAGTTCTTTAAATTTATGTATTATAGGTAGCACAGCAAGGATGTAATTCTTTCTTAATAGCTCCAGTCTGGGGCAGAGAATGGGGATTTGGATCATAGATGAAATATGGTCTTATATGTTCTCAAGCCAGGCTCTGACAGCTGTCAACAAAATCAATTCATTAGGCCTTTCCTGCAGACAGAGAACCTTCTGAGGTACAAAGGTTTTCACCTTGAATAGGAAGCAGGCAAATAGAAGACTTCAACTGTGTCAAAGTTTTTCTGACAGTTTCTCCAGGTCCAAGAGACCTAAGAAAGTTGCCATCAGTGGCACAGCCTTGTTCTTTCATTTTCTTTCTCTGCCAGCGGCCTCTGCCCACTCAAGAGAGAGAGCTACTCAATCTTCCTTGATAGCTTCTAGAGAGAGGTGGGAACAGCCAGGATTTCAGCAGGTGGCCAGGGACCAATGGGTGAGGACAGATAGGCTTCAATCCCAGAAGGGTAGAAAATGGAAGTAATAAGCAGCTAGAAGCTTTTGTGCCTTATTGGGATTGTATTGAATTGGGTGGGTTTAGGCTTCTGGGACACCATGCCAAAAGCCTGCCTCCTTGGTCCTGCTTCACATTTCTGCTGAAAACATGACTCAGCAGCTGTGGGAGATCCTTTGTTGGTTGATTTTACTCTCTCTTCCCCCAGGTCGCTGGCAGTTTTGGTGGACAAACCTCCTGGCCAGCCAGGGGTGATGAAACCTATCACCCCAGTAGAAGAATGGGAATGGGAACTCTCAAGTCTCCACCCTCCCTTCCTTCCTCTCTCAAGAGCTAAAACTGTGGCAGGAGGAAGCACCAACAGCAACTGGCTGAGCAACATTCTTGGAGAGATGAAGCTACTCCTGCTCCTGGTGGCCTTTCTCCTACCCTCCAAAGCTGGGGCAGGTAAGTGATCATCCAAACCCTCAGAGTCCCAATCCCATCCCATAGCCTCTGGACCCAGACTGCCTAGGCACATCCTAGCTCTGTGTCATTGGATAGCACACTATTTGAGTTCACATTCCCAGGTCCTTCATCTATAAGTAGGAATAATAGCAGTACCTACCTCATAGAGCTGCTATCACAGTTACATTAGGGAGTGTCCACGAACCTCTTGGCATGGCCCCTGGCACATAAACATGCTCTGTAACTGTGCTCTATTCATTTTTCTGCAGCCCATCTGTCAAAGCCTAGGAGACAAGGATACAGCAATAACAGTCCCATCACCTCATATGTAGATTCTTAAAAAACACTCCTTGCTGCTCATGAACTGGTCATGTGGTGGTCTTAGAGGGATCAGGAAGAGAACATACCAACAACTTCAAGGAAAAGCCACTCCAGAGGGCTCTGGAATTTCCAACAGGACAATAGAGCTCTCCCCCACTTGAGAGGCCTAATTGGCCTTTCCTGGACCAGGGGTTGTTTTTATTTTGGAAAGGAGGGGACCTGAGTTCTGGAATCAGGATACAGCAGTGTTTCCTGCTGAATCCTGGAGCCCTCTCCCATAATGTAGTACCCTGCAGACCCCAATTCTCACCACCAAACCCTCCTTTCCCTGCATCATCTCTGTAGCTTCTCCATCTTCTAGCCTTTCAAGAGTCACCAAGCTAGTGCCCTCACCCCAGGTTCGGTGAGTGCAGAGATAAATGCTGAATACTTTCTTCCAGGGGAGATCATCGGAGGCAGAGAGGCCAGGCCCCATTCCCACCCCTACATGGCATTTCTTCTAATACAAACTTCAGGGCGACAGGGCGTTTGTGGGGGCTTCCTGGTGCGAGAAGACTTTGTGATGACAGCAGCTCACTGCTGGGGAAGGTGAGCAACTAAGGAGGTCTCCGGTGACCAGTAGACAGGCCCAGTGGTTTCATGAGAACATGAGGCTGAAAGCTCGGTTCTAGCAATGAGGGGGTGAAAAGAGACTGGGTATGCCCTGGGTGGCAGGGAACAGGATAATGTAAATCCTTGAGGAGAAAAGGAGATAAAAAACATGCATTAAAACTCAAACTACAAATTTAAGCTATTAATTTATCCTATTTATCTCTTTATCTTTAAGTTCACTGTGTACCCCACCATCCCCAGCTCAAGGCTTTGGAGAAACAGAAGGTAGAGAGATCTCAGCCCAGAGCCTTCCTGTCCCCTCACTTCCCTCAGCTGCAGTTTTGCTGCTCTGCCCTCGCACCTGCCCTGCAGAGCTGGCAGATTTTAGCTCATGCAGCTCATACCTACCCCTAAGCCACCATTCCTTTGCAGCACTATAAAAGTCATCCTGGGAGCCCACAACATCAGGAGGCAGGAAAGGACCCAACAGCGCATATCTGTGCGCAGAGCTATCCGCCACCCTGGATATAGCAAGCAGAACCTCCTGAATGACATCATGTTACTGCAGGTACCACTAGCCTGACCCTCTGGTTCTCCACTTGAGCTGGCTCTGTCCCAGCATGGGGGCTTCACCTTGTCCTGGGACCCTGTTGGAGGAGGCAGGGGCAGAGTCCCAGGGGGTGGTAGGTGAGAGCTTCACAGACATTCCCTGAGTTCCTGCACTCTTCCTGCCAGCTGGGAAACAGAGCCACACGGAATCGATTTGTGAGGCCAGTGGCTCTCCCTCAGTCCAAGGCCAAGCTGCGTCCTGGGTCCTTGTGCACTGTAGCTGGCTGGGGCCGGGTCAGCCAGACCAGGAGAACAGACACACTTCAAGATGTGCAGCTGAGAGTGCAGAGGGATCAGGAGTGCAGCAATATCTTTCGTGCTTACAATGGCCAAACGGAAATTTGTGTAGGCAACCAAAGGGAAAGGAAGACTACCTTCCTGGTAAGGCCACAGGCATCTGCCTGCTCAAACTGAGACAGAAGGGTCTGGGCAGAACTGGGCAATGAGAACACACTGCATTCCACATCTTCAGTCTCGGAGCCAGAGTAAAGAGGGGTCTTTTCCCCATCAATCTAGTCTCTGAGGGAAGGGGAGGAGCACTGGACACACAACACATACACATGCAGTATTTTCATGGGAAAGGGAAAGGTACCTTGACTTGGGTTGAGCCAGAGACAGTAACCACAGCCAAGGTTGAAGCCCAACCAATGAAGGATCCAGGAGCTTGGTTTCTGCACTCCCACCATCCTTCTTCCTCTGAGGGTCCAATCTTAGGACACCAAGCATGGAGAGGTATAGAGTATGGAGGCCTGGCTTAGTGACCTTTCCTCTCACCACACACAGGGGGACTCCGGAGGCCCACTTGTGTGTAACAACGTGGTCCAGGGCATTGTCTCCTATGGAAGGAGTAACCCAACTCCTCCCGGAGTCTTCACCAAGGTTTCCAGCTTCTTGCCCTGGATAAAAAGAACAATGAGACGCTTCGAACAGCAGGGGAATCACACTGAGACCCCTTGGGACTGACACTTCTTCTCTGGTGCAGATGGGGTTCTCAGACCCTTAATAAATGGCCATGTCTAGAGTGAAAATAACTTATTTCTCGTGTTATTAAACATCATTCTGTACAAAACAAATGTATCCAAGACNTACCTATTTCTCATGTTATTAAACATCATTCTATACAAAACAAATGTATCCAGGACTGAGTTTGAGCTCCTCAGGAAAATGGAGTCTTTTCCCCAGGACAAACGAACATCCCACAGTCTCTCCTGAGGGTCGGGATGAGCTACTTCCCTCCTCCAAGGCATCCATTCTCCATCTCCCCTCCCCACACAGCTTTGGGGAATGTGTTCA